CTCCCCTCCCCCTCTTCTCCCCCTTCCGGATCTGGATAGTGGTGTGTCACCTCGCGAGGAGCCTACTGGGTGGCTGTGTGGGACGCTCTCCATGCTGTCGCCCGGATGAGCCCCCAGGAATCCCGCACTGGAGCCCCCAGGCCGGCGGGGCCAGAGGCACAGGCGCTGGACAACCGCTCTGGGCTGGGGCTCGGGCCTCCCCGCCGCGGCTCCGACCTTGCACCCGAGCATCAGCAGCGTCTCCGGAAGTGGGACACACAGGGGCTAGCGAAGAGCCAGCCCTGGGACCTGCCCTGGCCTCACGGTCCGGTCGTGACAGCGACCAGAAGCAGCCGGGCGGGGGCTTGCTCACGTAGGGGGAACAGCAGCATCAGCTGAGGGGAGCCGCACCGGGGCTGTGGGGAGGCGTCAGCGGACACCGCGTCTCGGGGGGCCACGCAGGCAGCCCCAATCGGATGGGCAGCAGCCACCACCCGCTCCTCCGTGGCCGGGGTAGGGGGCAGCCCTGGGCCCCGAAAGAACGCAGTGATACAAGGACTCCCAAGCTGCCTGTAAGAAGGAAAAAGAAAAGAACGGGAAAAAAGAGGAAAAAAGGAGAATGGAAAGAAGGAAGAGAGAAAGGGAGGAAAAAGAGAAAGAAAAGGAAAAGGAGGGGTGAGGTGGGGTGAAGGGGGAGGGGCGAGGCGGGGGAGGGGAAGAAGGATCCCCGGTGTCCCTCTTCCTCAAGCAGCCCCTGCCCTCCCCCGTCCCCAGCAACCAGGCCTTGCTCCCGTTCAGCACCCCCAGCCCGAGCCTCTGAGCAGGCCCCTCCCCTGCTTGCAGGTCACCCAGCTCTCACCCCACCCCCGAGGTGACCCAGGCCGCGGGGGTCCCTTCTCCGGGCCCCACATCAGCCCTGTGGTGTAGGCAGAGATCCCTGGGTCTCCGGGCCTCCCGACCTCCCGGGACCTTTGCTCTAAGCACAGGGCTGGGGACACCGCGGGGCGGGGCGCCCCATCCCCTCGTCTCCCCGGGCGCGCACCAAGCCCTGCCCCGTCCCTCTGCCTCCTGTCGCTGCTGCACGCGGCTCCGTCCCCAGGCTCTGACCCTGGAGGAGCAGGTGCTGCCTGGCGGGACCAGGGCAGGGTCCCTAACGCCAGGGATGGGCAGGACGGCTGCCTGTAGGTTCCAGAAGTCATGAGGGGCGAAATTCCGCTAGATTCCAAGTTCAAACGGATTTTACTCTGATTCTGGTGCCTCCCGCCTCGATGGAGGGCAGCTCCTCCCGCGACAGCGCGCGTGACACACGGAAACACCCCGGCTCCGCGCGGGGCTGAGCTTCAGTCCAAGCTGTGAGCAGAAATGGGAGAGCAGGGCCGAGGGCCCCATATGCCCTGGGGGGCCAGCCTGGAGGGCCCCTGGGAGCCCGAGGGTGAGGGAGGCGCCCGAGGGGCTGGCGCCAAGCCCTCAGCGGCCGCCCCTCTTGGCTGCCCCGGCCCCCTGCACCCTTGGCCAGGCCTGTTCCTGACCCTCCGGGCGGCACCCACACACCCCGGGCCGTGGCCGCGCCTCCCGTCCACACCGGTTGGGAGGCTCAGGAGGCAGAGCGCCGTCCTCACGGGCTGGAATCAGGATGGTCGCGCGCCGGCCTGGGAAGGGGACCCCGCAGAGTCCTCACCCCTATCCTGAGGTGTGCAGACGGCTATGAGAAAGCTGAGGCCCAGCTCCTGCTTTGTTTTCCTACATCGCGGGGAGGCGGGAGATCTCGGGAGGCAGGACCACCGGCCGCCGGCTCCTGTGTGGGGCCCGCGGACGCCCTTCCATCCACGCTTCTGGGGTCGGGAGCAGGGCCGTGCTCCTCCTCCAGCAGAGAGGGAGGTGGGGGTCCGCAGCAGGAGGCCGCCCGGGATCAGGCGGCCCCAAGGCGCGGCGCGACTCTCCCAGGGGCTCACCTCTGCCTGGGGCTGCGGTGGGGACCTAGAGCCGTGGCAAACAGGAATCTCCAAGCTTCGGGGCTGCCGAAAATCACTATAGATCACCTTGAAAACCTTTTGCTGTTGTTGCTGTTCAAACTTTAAAAAAAGCTCTTGACTTGGAAGCAGCAGGACAGCAGACGCAGGTGACAATGGCGAAGGTCCCGGGCGGGCCAGCCCAGCAAGGCACGGCCGGCCCCGCACCCGCACGGCGGCCAGCGCAGACCCGCCGCCCCACAGCCTGCGCCCCAGCCGCTGCCGGACTCCAGCACCCCCAGCCCCATCCCTCATTGTCGTGGCGACGAGGTTTCTGTGAATTTGCAGATGCATCAAGAGAAAACGAACCAGTGGAGAGACTCTGGGATCCCGCCGCAGACGTGGAGGTTGTTTGGGTCAGAGAGACACCTGGTGGCTCCCGAGACACAGCACACGTCCTGTGACAGGCCCCTTCGAACCCCCCCGGGGGGCATGGGCCAGGGCGCCAGCGAGGCCTGCTGCTCCCGGGGGTCCGAGCCGACGGACCCCGACACCCATCCCAGCCTGGTGTCCTGCACATCGGCTGCCCGCGCCCCCCGCCGCAGCGGGGGACTGAGGCCGGTGTGTGGAAAGGGCGGGGTGCGCAGGCCAACAGAGCCCCTGTGGTCCCAGCACAGGGCTGGTGGCCTCACCCGGAGCCTCTGAGTGCCGCGTCTCCCGGGCTCCCCGGGACCCGGGTTCCTGCCGCTCATGATGGCACCTTCCCGGTCGGACCCGGGCCTCGGGGTCCCGTGTGAGCCGCCCACCGGGGACACCCTCCACGAACGATGTCCGTGGGGTTTCCTTTGGGCGCTTTCCCTCCACTGTCTGGATTCCTGTACTTTAAAATTTTTGCTATAAGCAGTTATCAGGCTCACATTAACTTAGAAGAAATAGCCATTTCCTTTTCGGAGGAAAAAAGATTAAATTTCCATCACTTCTTGTTTTTCACATCTGTTTATTCATCTTTTTGAATAGAATAAAGGAGACTCTGGGATTTCGCAGCATTATTTCACATTCTCATATTCTATCCGGTAATTTCACCCGTTGTCATTGTCTTCACACAAAGGAGAGCGGCTGACAAGTACACATCTCCCTCTGGAATAAACCCACACACTGGTGTTTGTGTCCTTGCCCAAGTCGCATGAGAAACGCAGGAAGCAGTTTGGTTCCCACCAGGAGCACAGTGCGTCCAAGCCACAGCAGCGCTCCCACCTACAGGGGCGTCTGCAAAGGGAAACTGAGTCAGCGGGAGGGCTTGCTGAAAACATTCCTTTGTATTATGCCTTCCCTGTTTTCTTTAAACAAAAGATGCAGTTAAGAAAGAGGTGTCTGTAGAATAGAACCTTCCTAACTCAAGAAGAATTTTATATGCATCAGGGAATTTACCCACTGATATATTGACGTGATTACTTTTTTGTTTGAGAGACAGAGAAAGAGAAAAAGAAAGAGAGAGAGAGATTGCCACATGCAGGGGCAAGAGACAGGGGGGGAGAGAGGATCTCAAGCAGGCTCCGTGTCTAGCTCCGAGCCTGATGGAGGCCTCCATCCCTCGGCCCCGAGACCATGACCTGAGCCAAAATCAAGAGTCGATGCTTAACCGACTGAGCCACCCAGGCACCTGTTGACGTGAATTTTTTTAAAGCCAAGCCAAAAAAAAATCCTTTTCTAATTCAAATAATCTTTTTCTAATTAATCCATATGATGGGCTGATTTTGGTCTATGCTGGGTTTTCTTAAGATAAAGGCCACTTTTATTAATTTTGGTTTCTTGGTGACTAGCAGAACCACTTGACTATTTGCCGCCATGTCAATTTCAAGGTGTCATCTTTACAAAAAACCTAAAATTACTATTTATTTACTTAAAGGTGACCCCACCACAAGCCTTCAGCAAGATCTGAAAGGCGGAAAACATAGCAGGAGTGGAGAGACGCTGGGATTTATCCTGGTGTGTGTGCAATGGTATCAGGGAGATTTGCTCAAGTTTTAGAAAGATCTATTTTGTAAAAGAAATGGGATCCCTTGCTACTGTGGAATCCAACCCCTGCTTCCCACAAGGGCACATGAGTACAGCAGGAGACTCCTGTACCTGGGCATCCAGGAAAATAGTCCAGCCCGCCTGGCTGGAAGTGCTACACGGTGCGGGGGCACCAGCTAGTGCCCACACCTGGCTGGTTCCCCGTGGGGTCATGCCGAGCCCCCAAGAGGATCACCTCAGTGATTCTACAGAGAAGTGCTGGTCTTGCGAGGTCACAGAGGGGAAAATCAAACCGGATACAGGATAGGTCACCGGTGTGTCTACAGAACCTACAATTAGAGCAGAAACCTCAAATGCTAGTCTGTGTCTGTGATGTCACAGAGCCTAATCCCTTTTGTTAGGAAGGTGACCGCATGCCCCGCTTTGCCTGGACGTCTCCGCTCAGGCCTGTTGCCTGGCGTGATCACTAATAGCACCTCCTTTTGCTCTTAAAAGCCTCCTGGTCTGGATGATAAATTACTCCGTCACCTTCAGCTAGAGCTCGCTTAGGGCCCTGCCACCCCAAGCGGCCCGGAGAGCCGTCCTGGCAGAGCCCTCTGGTCCAGGCATTTCTGCTGCCCCCCCCCCCACTCCTTTGGGGCCAAGGAACCCAAAACACAGCCCCCCTGATTAAAATGTGTGTGTCCGAGAGAGCCCTGGTTGACAACCGCCATCAAGCCGAGAAGTGCAGGAGCGGGCAGGGCCAGGCCTGTGCCACCGGGGATCCAGTCTCCCTGCCCGCGGGCGAGGGCCCAGGGCCGTGAGGACGCCGCCCAGCCTGATCACAGAGCCAGACGCCGCCTTCCCGTGCATGAAAATAAACTTTATTCTAGCCTGGAGCCTGGAGCGGTTTTGAAACAGGAAACGTTCTTATCTGACACCCGAGAAAGTCTTACCCCTTGGACTCTAAAGGTTACGTTCCGTACAATTATGTAAGTATCTTCACCGCCATGTACACACCAGCGTTTACGGTCCCAAAACCTTCTGAAAAGCCAATACAATTGGATGCTTTAGGCAATGATTAACCTGGTTAGAAAACAAGAACCGTCCCCAGCACAGCCGGGAATTCGGGGCGGGGCGGGCGGGGGAGGCCCGAGGGAAAGGACGAACCGGAGGTTGGGGCGCGGTGCGGCGGGGGAGGCGTCGGGGGAGGCGTCGGGGGGCCGGGGCGCCCGGGCCAGGCTGCACCCCAAGCTGCTGACACTGCCCACCCGCAGGCTGCTCGGGGCGGCCTCCTCCTCGTTCCCTCCCAACTGCCAGGCTGCGGAGGAGACCCGGCCCGGAGACTCCGGCCTGCGCGTGGCCCCGCGACCCGGCGCAGGACCCCCAGCGCCCCCCCCCCAGCCCGACGCCCCCGGGCCGCGAGCAGCAGGGCCCACTTGGCCGTTTGCCGGGAGGAAGAGCGGCCGAGGCTAGAAAGGCGCTCAGGCTGCCCCAGGCCCACCCACCGCGAGCAGGGCCGCGCCCGAAGCCCTGCCCCGCAGCCCGACCCCCACGACCCCAGGGCGGCCAGGGCAGGGCCGACCTCCGCCCCGACCGACCGACCTCGGCGCTGCTCTGCCCCACCGACCTCGGGGAGCCTCGGGGTCCGCCTTCGGGGCCGCGTCGAGGCCTCGCGGCGCGGACTCGAGCTCCCGGGGCCCCCCGCAGGCGCTTCTGCGGGCGCGCACGTGTCCCACGGGCGCCGACGCGCGTGTCAAGCGCCGCAGGCCGCCCCGGACGCCCGAAGCAGGGTGCCCCGGGCCTCAGGCCCTCACTCGGGGGCGGCTCCAAGGCACAGCGGCTGCCCTCGAGGAGCAAGGGGCCAGGATCCCGGAGCCACGCGGCACAGGAGCAAGAAACACGGGTCCTCCACCCCAAGGCAAGCCAGGCCGGCGCCCTGGCGGAGGCGAGCAGGTGCGGGCACAGGCGCCCCGAGCAGCCCGGGCCCAGTGCGCGTCGGTCCCGCCCTCGGACTAGGCCGTGCGGGGACGGGGCAACCCAGGGTCACGAGGGGGCAGGGCGCGGGGCGGCCCAGGGTCACGAGGGGGCAGGGGGCAGGGGCGGGGCGGCCCAGGGTCACCAGGGGCATGGGGCGGGGCAACCCAGGGTCACGAGGGGCAGTGGGCAGGGCAGCCCAGGGTCACCAGGGGCAGGGGGCGGGGCGGCCCAGGGTCACGAGGGGGCAGGGGGCGGGGCAGCTCCAGGGTCACGTGGAGCAGGGGCAGGGCGGCCCGGGCCGGGCAGCCCCAGCATCAGGAACAGAAGAGGAACAGACTGTGCTCGCAGAGATCAGTGGGTGTATTTGAGGTAAACTGTGGCGTCAGGAAGAACCCAACGCGAGGCTCCTGGGGGTCCTAAGGCAAGGCCCAGCGAGGTTTTTGGTCCCGATGAGATCATCTCACAAGTGGTCACCGCAAGCGCTAAAGCGGGGGGCGGGCCGTCCGGGCCCCGTGGGTCCAGCGGTGGGGGCAGGCCCACGCCCACAGCGCGGGTGGCCGGGCGGGGACCCGGGGGGCGCGGGCCAGGCCAGGAGCCCCGCCTCCTCCCTGCGGACAGCTGGGCCGCTCCTCCGAGGAGCCGAGGAGCCGGGGAGCCGGGGAGCCGGGAGCGGGTCGCGCCCGCCTGCAGCGCTCAGATGCACTGCTCCACGTCGCGGTCGTTCAGCAGCAGAGACCACGTGTCCCCGCCGTCGTCGGCCGCGGCGCTGTGTCGGGACAGCTTGTCGGACTTCAGGGAGGACAGAGACACCTGGCTGACGCGGCTCACCTGGTCCCAGGGCGTGGCCCGCGGGGAGTCCCACCGCCGGTCATCCATGCCAATGTGCACGCTGACCTGGGACGCCGTCAGGGGCTTCATGCGGCCCTGCGCCTGGGCCTCGTACCTCTCCAGGTCGGGCTTCTTATAGCTGCCGAGCAAGAATCCAGAGCGTTTGAGCCGACGTGGATGCACGCTTTTGGTTTTTTTTGCAAGGTGGGCAAAGCGCTGGCCCAAGCCTTTCAGTGGGCACAGCATGGAACCCCGAGGGCCGAACAGGACAGGGTACTGAGCTCCTAGGGCCCAGGTCACGGTCGCCCAATGGAGAAACTTCCCATCCAGATGCCTGGCACATGACAGGCTGCCACTGACTCTTGTTAAATGAAAGCACAAATAAGTGTCTTTTTCAAAAAAGGAAAAGCGATTGCACGCAAGGACCCTACGTGTGCGTGGCATTTCCGCAAGCAGCCCTGGAGCAGAGCAACAGGGGCAGCCCCGCACACGGTGCTGGGAGGTGGCGAATCACGCACTCGTGGTGCCGACCAGGCGTCACACACACCCGCCTGCACCATCCTCCCTGGCTCTGCCTTGGGTGCACTAGAAGCTGTGCACAGCACCCACCCAGCACCAGCCCGGGGCGCAGAGGGCAGGGAGGGGCTGCGTGGGGGAAGAGGGCCTGGTGAGCACGCAGCCGCTTCGAGGGACTCACCACTTGAGCTGCAGCGATGAGAGCACCACAGACACGGAGGAGGCCGCCATAGCCGCCGAGCCCATCCACGGCTGCAGCACGACGCCGATGGGCATGAAGACCCCTGGCCAAGGGTGGGAACACTCACACCACAGCCCAGAGGAGGGGGCCTCACTCTGGGCTGCTACCATGACGTTCCCCATCGTGGGGGTGCTCAGAACCCCCGCTGCCATATCATGACCACATGCCCACCCACCTCCCGGGCAGGTGGCCTCGGAGCCAGGCAGAGGGTGCTGTCAAGGGGACTTGGGTCTCCCCCAACCCTGGCCTTCCTGGGACAGTCCACAGTGCACAGGTGGCATCACAGGTTTCAGGGGGAGCTGCAAGGGCACAGGGAATGACAGGCACCCTCTCTGCAGCTTTCACTTATCTTTAGAGACTTAAGAAGCGGAGAACATAACAAACTCAACTCTTTGTAAAGCTTCTATCCTGCCGGCCAGCCAGCCAACGAGCAGGAGCCCAGCAGGAGCCCAGCAGGCGGCGAGAAGCCTCAGGGGTCAAAACAGGTGAGCCCCCTACCTGCCGCAATGGGTATCCCGACCAGGTTATAGATCAGTGCCAGCACCAGGTTGAGGCGTATCCTCCACACGGTCCTCTTGGAGAGGTGAATGCTGGCCACCACATCCAGCAGATCGTTCTGTCGGAGGAGCACAGTCAGGATCCCTGTCCCCGGCCCTCACCGCCCCCAGAACCTGGGCAACAGGGCACGAGGAGACACAGCCGAGCTCACTCTGATGAGGACGACGTCAGCAGCCTCGATGGCAACATCTGTGCCTGTCCCGATGGCAATGCCCACGTCGGCCTGGGCCAAGGCTGGGGAGTCATTAACCCCGTCTCCCACCATGGCGACTTTCTTCCCTTCGTTCTGGAGTTCCTGGACCTTGGCTACCTTGTGAGACGGGAGCACCTCTGCAAAGACCTTGTTGATGCCAACCTAGAAGGAAAGGGGAGCAGCGTCAAGCACACATAGGTGACAATACCTGGTGTTGGCAGAGGGTGGCCAACAGTAGCAGAAGCCTGGCCGTCGTCCTGCCCCCCTCCCTCCGGCCTCCCAAGCCCAGTGGGCGAGTCAGTCACCAAGCCCTGGACCCCAGGCCCCCCACCTCACCCCCTTCCATGCTGGCTTGGGCCCGGGGTGCGTCTCCCTGCCCACCTCCCAGCTCTTCTGTCTGTGCACACCCGCGATCCTTCCAGAACAGAGGCCACCTGGTCCTGTTACTCTCCTGCCTACAGACCCAGGCAGCCCAGTCCTCTTGGGATGGCCTCCGTGCTCCAAGGCCCCTCGGGACCGGGTCTCTGCTCGTCTCCAGCCTCCCGCCTGTGGCCCAGCAGGCCCACCCTGGAGGCTGCCCGTCCGGCCCACGGCTGCCGTGCTCTGCCGCGTCCTGGAGACATCAGCGCCCCTTTCTCCAGACCTCTCCCTGTCATCTGAACGCTCCTGACTCCAGCATTTCCTCCCCTGGGAAGGCAGCTCCAGCCCCTGCCAGGCTGTGTCCTGGGCACTTTTCTGTTGCAGAGGCGAGCACTCGGTTCAGCCCTGGTCGCTGGCCCACATACCCCCCAGGACAGCGAGCTGCCGGAGAGAGGGCAGGCGCCCCGGCTCCTCTCTGGAGCCTGGCACGTGGGTGGTGCTTCGTAAGTGCTTGTTCAACGGTAACCAACCTAACCAGAAAGGGGCGCGGCACTCGACCGTCCACCCTTGGCAAGGAAGGCCACGAAGGCCACGTGGAGAGGCACCGCTGCTTCCCTTGTAAGCAGCAGTTCGTTTTTAAGAGCACATGGTTCGCCCCCATGGGGAGGGCGAGTCGTTTCCAGGACGGTGCACCGGGCCCGCGGCCGGGCGGGTGCCCCACAGGGCGCTCAGAGGCGAGGGAGCTGTAGGCCCGCCCGGGACCAGCCCAGGCAGTTGTGGGCGGCACCCGTGGGAGCCGAGCCGACGAATCATCCCCATCATGGCTCCCCCCCTGCCCCCCTGGAAAGACAGAAACGGGGAGGGTAGAATCGCTTCCTCCAGGGCAGCTGCTTGCCCCAAGCTCCAGCGTCCAGGCCCCAGGACGTAGCTTTGCCCTGCAGCACAGGGGCTCCGTGGGCTGCTGCCCGGCTTGCTGCGGCGTGGAGAGAAGCGCTCGCCAGGGAAGGCCAGGGCGTGGGTGCAGCAGCACTTGTGGCCTTTCCTCGAGCTGCTCCAGGGAGCTTAGAGGCCGTTTTAAAGAAGGAACAACCCCAGCCCCTGCTCCCTGGCACACACCTGGGTGGCAATGGCTCTGGCCGTCTTGCGGTTGTCCCCTGTGATCAGGACCACGTCCACGCCCATGCTCTTGAGTGTGTGCACAGCCAGGGCTGCCTCCTGCTTGACGGCATCGGCGATGGCGATCATCCCGCACAGCACACCTGCAGGAGATGCCCTCAGGTAAGCCCTCGGCGGGAGCAGTGGGCAACCCAAGGAGCAGAGGGGGCTGTGCTACCAGACAGTTTCCAGAATGTGATGCCACACGTGCAAAACAAAACAAGTTACGTCGTATGAAGTGGTCTTGATTCTGTTTTTGAAAAATTACCCACATTTCCAGACAAACATCTGGAAGGAACACGAACTGTTAACAGTGGCGCTCTGAGGGGTCGGGTAAGGAGTCATTTCATTTTCCTCTTTATCGCTCAGAATTTCCCCAGTTTTCTGCAAGGAGCATCTACTAGTTCACAGAGTGCCTGGCTTACAACCCGATACGCGTTAGCAATTAAGATACAAGGAACAGGATGGATACAATGAGCGCCACTTCACAGTGATGAACGTCTAACGGAAAATCAGCCCTTCTCTTCTCTTCCTACAGGAAGCATTTCTGTACAACTTCCTTGGTTTGGGGCTTTTTGGAGTGAATCTCCAGACGCTGAGGCAGGTGGGTTCTGAGGCCTGAGGCCTGGATCCTTCAGCCGGGCTGGTCCTGATCTGAGCAGCTGAGGGGGCTGCAGCTCTGGGAGGACTTTGGAAAGGATATGGTGGTGCAAGCGGGAGGAAAGCCCGGAAGAGGGCCTATTTGGTTGAAGCGTTAAAAATAACGCTTGTTTGTTACTTTTCTGCCTCCATAAGCAGAGGCTACCATCGACACAGGGAGATTGCAGTCGTCTGAGGCATAAAGGCCTAGATGGAACCCGAGCGCCAGACACGTGATCGCGGGGAGCCCCCCGGAGGGACCCGTGGCTGAGTCTGACAGGGAGCTGCTGTTGGGCATCCAGGGATGGAGCAGGGGGGTGACTGAACCTGGCTTGGATGGAGGCGGACGCCGAGGCAAAGGCAGGCCAGAGTCCCAAGAGCGGGGAGGCCGGTGCCCCTCGCTCTGGGGCAAGGAGGGACCCGGCAGGCTCAGACCCTCTGCACCAAGTGAAGCAGGAAACTGGCCAGGCAGCCTCTGGACGCAGAAGCTACATTAACAGACAGGAAGACTTATGGGGGGGGGGGGGGAGAAGGAGAAGGTCTGTGTTTGCCAGATATCCCCGGAGTCTGCTGCTGAGAGCGGAGGGTGAGGCGCTACCATCGATGGCCACCAGGATGGCCGTCTGGCCTTTCATCTCATGGTCCGCCATCGCGTCACTGACGTCGCTGGATATGGTCAGGCCGTTGCGCCTCATCCATTCACGGTTCCCAATCAGCACGGAAAAGGTCTGGGGCGTCTCATCTGTTCAGAACAGTGTGTGGTTAATCCCCAATCGTCCAGTCCCACTGTGGGAGGGCACTAAACACCATGGAGCCTTTCAACAGCAAAACATCCATTTCACTGTTTTGAGACACTGTACCAGCCAGCCCCTCCCAGAACACCCCCCAAAGGACCAGGGAGACGTGTGGAACGTGGGGGTGTGGGTCCAACCCGGGTGCTGAAAGGTCCACGCAGTGTGTGTGAAAACATCGTTAAACGTATTAAATATCAGGTTGTATCATTATTTGCCTTTAAGAGGCAAATATCTGCTGACTATTTTCCTGCAGAGATTAGAAGCAGCAAGTGTAGCTGAGGGTAGACGGCCCAGGATGCACCTGCAAATAGCGAGCCTACCTCCACGGAACGTGACAAGCTGTACCTGCTGAAAGGCCAGGGAGTCTGTCCCCGTCACCTTCTAACTCTGTGTGCCACTAACCCAGGTATCCCCGCACAGACCACCTGGCAGCCTCACGGAAGGCTCACCCTGGGCTCTGAATTGCTAGAAGGTGGCACGGATGGCGTCTAACAAGAGACTGACACACTTCAGAGAAAACATGAGACGCGGGTTTCTCGGTCTGGGAGGGTCTCCATACTCCCACACTGCTGGTGAGGCAGCAGGCCGACACCCGAAGGCATTGGGCGGGCCATCCCCACCTGCCTTCCCCGCTGCCAGCCCTCCCGCTGGAGGTCCACGGCACGGCACGGCACGGCACGGGAGGAGATGGGAGGAGCAAAGCAGAATCCCTGCCGGGGCCTCTGCACTCTAGGAGAAGCAAGACTAACTTGGGATCAGAAAGAGGAGGCAAAGAGGAGGCTCAAGATGGTAGGTCACAGGAGCGGTACCCGGAATCTCAGTGACATACACTCCTGTCACTGGTGCGAAGACTCAGATGTATCTGGGGCGCCTGGGGGCTCAGGGGGTGAGTGTCTGCCTTCAGCTAAGTCAGGTTGTGACCCCAGGTCCCGGGATGGAGTACCACATCGGGCTCCCCGCAGGGAGCCTGCTTCTCCCTCTGCCTCTGTCTCTGTGTGTCTCATCTCATGGACAAATAAAATCTTTAAAAGAAATTCAGATGTATCAGAGAACAGGCAGCAGAGAAAGTACAGGCTTTCCCAGGGGAGGTGGGCCCGCAGCACCCGGCCGTGAGGCTCCCTGGTCCGCAGCGGGGGACCCTGCAGTGTGCTGCCACCTAGCGCGGCCGGGCCCAAACCCTGGCAGGCCGCACACACAGATAAGGGCCAGGGATACCTGTTTCCTCGGGAACGCCGCCAACCGTGCCCGGGGGAGCGGCCTGTTTGCTCCGCTGGCGCTCGCCGGGGGCCAGGATGCTCTCCACGCTACTGACTTTGCAGCCAATCCCGCAGCCTGGCACTGCCTGGAAGTCCGTGCAGTATCCCAAGGTCTCCGTTCCCAGTTCCTGTGAGGCGAGGAGAGGGGAGGTGACAGGAGGCAGGACAGACCTTCCTGGAGGCAAGAGGAACGTGGGGGGGGGGGCGGGTCAGAGACAGACTCGGAAGGCATCTCACACGTTACGGTTATTGACCTGGTGCCTCACGACACTGGACAAGGTGCAGACCAGAAAGGCCAAGGGCAGCTCACAGCAATGCCCCAAATGAAGGGAGGTGGGGGAGCCAGGAGAGGAACGAGGTTGTTTTTATGTTGCAAATAATTTCGTCAGATGGATGGGGCAGGTCAACAGTAGCAAAGCTGCTCGGAGGCTCTCAAGAGGTCACTGCCGGCCTCCCAGGCCTGGGGGGACCAGGGCGGTGGCAGGAGGACCAGAGGAGCTGCCCCACTTGGGTTGGCCACATAGCAGAGGAGGGGCCGACAGCACAGTGTCCTGAAACATCAGGGAGGGGGGTGACCTGAATGACTCCTCATAAAACACCGAGGGAGATTTCTGGAAGATTCCCTGTCAGCTTCTCCCCAAAGCGTCCACACCACCTCTCTACATTTACTGACGGTTGTATTTGCCCCAACCGTTGAACATTTTTCAGGGCAGCGTCTGGCACATCCTGCTGCTTCTACATTTACACTGAAAACAGGAAACTAAACGGGACCTTCTGTCTGCAGGTCAAAGGATGAACGCATCCCCGTTAGCCGCCAAGAGCCACGACGGGGCACTCGGCTCACCTGGTTCGTCTCCATTCACCGCCCCGGCTAAGGGGCTCTCTCCTGGCCGCGCCCCAGCCCCGGTCACTTCTGTGTCCCCTCTGCGCAGACTGCTCACAGGGGACCGACTCTCCGTCTGTCCCACTGCTCAGCTCCCGGGCCACAGGCTAGCAGTTCCGGTCCTGAGCACAGACGCCCGTCCGCGCTCCGTAACCGCTAACACTCAAGCACTTTTGTGATGATCTGGAGGTAGGACAAGCTGCACCTCCACCTGGTGCACAGGGGCCTGCGGGCCCAGGTTCTGGCAGCAGGGGGAGGGGGCTGCGGGCGGGGAGCCTGGGGGGCCTGCTCAGGTCCACCTACCTCTTTACAGTACTTGGTGACGGCCATGCCCAGGGGGTGCTCGCTGCTGGCCTCCGCGGTCCCCACCACGGCGAGGACCTTCCTGAGGGGCAGCGTGGCCACATCCACCAGCAGGAGGACCCTCATGACTTTGGGGACTCCGTGGGTAATGGTGCCAGTTTTGTCAAACATCACAGTCTTTATCTGCGAAAACAACCACAAACACAGACGGCAGAGGCTGTAGGAGCCCACGCGACGGCCGGCAACTCCCGCTGGTGGCAGCGCTCCTCACCACTCAGCCAACACGATCCTCTGCCCTGCGGAGGCGAAGCCCCTGGCGCCCCCCCAGCTCCTCCCTGACGCACACCCCCCAGCCCCCTCCCAGCTCCTCCCTGACCCAGACCCCAGGCCCCCCCCCCAGCTCCTCCCTGAAGCACACCCCGGGCCCCCCGCAACTCAGTCTCCTGTCAGTCTCTCTCCCTCAGGCGACCTTCCGGCCCCTCAGAGTTCATCCCGGTAACCACCGAGGGCGTCCAGTGTGCCCGGCGCCAGGCCTGGCGCTGGGGGTATGACGGTGACAAAGTTTTGGGGCCGAATCCTGGGGAGCTGTGAGGGCGGTGCAGGTCCCCCCCTCCCCAGGATGCAGGGCTTCCCGCCCCGTCTCACACATCTGCCCCCGCTCCCGGGGAACTCCCGGCAGCTGAGGCCCACGGCCATCGCCAGGCCCTGGCACAGGACCCGCACCAAGTGGGGGCTCGACAAACACCACATAAATAAACGGAGGCTCGGGAGCGGGGACGGCGTGTTGGGCCAGGGTCTCCATAAGCCCTGCTGCCGATGGCTTGCGGCCTGGACGTTGGGACATCGGTGCCCTGCTGAGTGCGTGGACGCTCCCGCCTTGCGCTGGGCCTGACCACCTGGGCGTGAAGCTAGTGGGGCCTGCGGGCGAGCGCCCCACCTGCTGCCCCAGCTGCCGCCCCAGCTGCCTCATCTGCAAAACGGGAGTAATAAGCATCTACCTCGGAGCTGCTAATGGGATTACGTGGACCCCGTAGCTATTATCACTCCTCCCGGCCTCCGGTCTTATTTATTAACAGAGCTGCTCTCAAGCCGCGTCCAGGTCTTTCTCCTAATACGGAATTTAAGCACATACTACTTTCCCTTAAACTCTCAAGTTTCAAATAAAAAGAAAAAAAAAAATCACAGAGTAACAGCTACAGAGTCATCACAGGCAGGAGCACAAGGCCAACCTTGTGGGCCATCTCCAGAGGCTTGCCTCCTTTGATGAGAATGCCATTCTGGGCGGCCACCCCAGTGCCCACCATGACCGCCGTGGGGGTGGCCAAGCCCAGGGAGCAGGGGCAGGCGATGCACAGCACCGTGATGGACGTCTGGAACGCAAACCGGATGATCACCTCCGCCTCGGAGATATGCTTGTTGGGGGTCTGCACAGAGGGAAGAGAGGAAGGCAGGCTGAGGGTTACATGAGGAATCACGCAGACTTCTGATCACATCAGAACATTTCAGTGCAGACAGCGGGATCTGAGATGCGCAAGGAGCTGGGGTTTGGGAAACACGGGGTGGTCCACTCTGCTTCCGTGTCATCAGATCACACGGGTCACTTACTGGTCTCCATACCAGTTTTGCAACTTGATACCATAGGCTTTCCTCTGAGAGAGGCACAAGGGGAGGAGAGAGTCATATAAAACTCCCCGCTAGATGAGGGAGCGCAGACTCCAGAAGTGGACCATGTGCATCCATGTCCTGGCCGTGACACTAATTTAACTTTCCCGTGTCAGCTCCTTTACATTCCAAATGGAGACGACAATACCAATAATGCCCAACTGGTTGTTATAAGGAGTAAATGAACTAATATACATATAAATATACATTGTACAATACCTGGATGGGAGAAGCATCTAAGAAATTGTAACTATTACATTATCAATATTACTCATTATTATGAAAACTTTAAAAAATGATAAGTCTCCAAGGAATCTACCCTAAGGTGATAACCATATAAGTGGCAAAAGATACAAAGATATGTATTCACAGAGGTTGTTTTTTTTTTTTTTTTTTTTTTTTTCTCAAAAAAACCCTAGAGATGACCATAGGGATCTGGTTACTTAGATTCTGGGTATGAGGGCAGCCCTGGTGGCGCAGCGGTTTAGCGCCGCCTGCAGCCCAGGGCGTGATCTGGAGACCCTGGATCGAGTCCCATGTCGGGCTCTCTGCATGGAGCCTGCTTGTGTCTCTGCCTCTCTCTCTCCCTGCATCTCTATGAATAAATAAATAAAATCTTTAAAAAAAAAAAAGATTCTGGGTATGATGTGCATAATGAAATATCATGCAATTGTTGAAATGATGATGCATACCTATACTTATTGACATGGAAAGATACCAGCAATGCTGCTAAATAAAAAAAGCAAGTACAAAATGGCCTGTGTTGTGACTGGGTCAGTGCAAAATTATCTGACCATATCTCTATCTAGTCTTTCAACATCACTGGAAAGATGTTAACTAAAGTGTAAGATATCGTTACTCCTAGGGATGGGATTTGGAGCCATCTTCATTTTCTTCTATTTTTTCTCCATTGTTTCATTGTAAACCCCAAACAAACAAAATATGGGTCTCCTTTCCAGTTACCTGGTGACACATACGGGTATTACTATTTGCCTTCTGACATCTGGGTTTATCTTGGTTTACTTTACAAAATGGCGGGTGTCTCTCGAGCACGGTCAGGAGACACTATATTCCCTTTAATCACAGTATGTTTTCTCTTTAGCTTCCATCTATACTTTATTCCTTGATTTTGAAAGGCACAATTCTAAAATACGGTGTTTTAGTAAAGGGTCATTTCATCTCCATTAGAAACAGTTGGATTTAGAGGGACACTGTGTTTAAGACATAATGCAATTTCCAGAGATAAAGATGATGCAATTAAAAAAAAAACAAAAAACCAGCAATTCTCATCAGAATAACCCAGGTCATTCTGATGGGACTGGGTGGACTTCTAGAGGCTGACATGAACCTCTCCCTACAAATGACATTTAGACAGCAGGGTCATAATATCTTAAAGGAACATGCAGTACCTCATTTGCCAGCGTCCTCCCTGATATTGCAGATAAAAACAAAAGAAGCCAAAGTAAGATGGAAAGGCAGGGAACAGCAGAAAGCCACACATTCCAACTTGTTTAGGAATGACGTTTCCCACAGCCACATGCCAATGGGTAGCTCTCCCGCAAAAGCAGAAATCTGAGGGGTCAGGTGGCGTAATAGCCACTGGCAAATTCTAGGAATACGGTCAGTCAGAGGTCACCCTTAAAAGCACTGAGGTCTCCTTAGATGTCAGAAAGAGTTTAACTTGGACATTTTTCATTTTAAGATAAGAAATTTGAGAAAAATGACATCTTAGTAAATGACATGCGCCCCACGATTTAAATATGCTTTTAATTATGGGTAGACTTTTTAAAGAAAAAAAACCTCCATTTCATATTTATAATTTCTTATTCTACAGCTCTAAGGTAAAATATGCATTAGGTTTGGCTAAGTAGGAGCTACTTTAAACCAGAAGATAAAACACTGTTCCCCTCATTGTGCAGTTATCAAATGTGACTCCAAGTGGGCCATTCCCTGTTGATGTACATCATGGTTTCTCAAGCTCAGCACGACTGATTCTTTGTTGAGGGGGGCTGTTCTCTACCTCGTAGGATGTCTGGCAGGACAGCCTCCCCGTCTCTACCCACTAGGTGTCAGTACCATTTTCTGCCCAGTCAAGACAAGCAACAACGTCCCCAGACATTGCCAAATGTCTCTGGGGGCAACAAAATTACTTCCAATTGAGAATCACTGCTGTGTATAGTTCTTACTTCTCAACCAAAAAAGGATTTTTTTTTTTTTGTATTTTCCACTTTTTTTGGAAGTTTGATAAAACTGTATTTGGTAAGATAGTATTCATCATCTACTATTTATTTATTTATTTATTTATTTATTTATTTATTTTAATTTTCATTTATTTATGAGAGAGAGAGAGAGAGAGAGAGAGAGAGAGAGAGAGGCAGAGACACAGGCAGAGGGAGAAGCAGGCTCCATGCACCGGAAGCCCGAAGTGGGAATCGATCCCAGGTCTCCAGGATCGCGCCCTGGGCCAAAGGCAGGCGCCAAACCTGCTGCGCCACCCAGGGATCCCCATCATCTACTTTTTAATTCAAGAAAGTCTATTCCATGGGATCCCTGGGTGGCGTAGCGGTTTGGCGCCTGCCTTTGGCCCAGGGCGCGATCCTGGAGACCCGGGATCGAGTCCCACATCGGGCTTCTGGTGCATGGAGCCTGCTTCTCCCTTTGCCTGTGTCTCTGCCCCCCCCCTCTCTCTCTGTGACTATCAGAAGGAAGGAAGGAAGGAAGGAAGGAAGGAAGGAAGGAAGGAAGGAAGGAAAGAAAGAAAGGTATCCAAGACAGTTCTTCAAAAACAAACCCACTCCTTTTTTCTCCTTTTTCTTTTTTTTTGGAAAATGAAAACAAAAAACAAATCCTTGACCCCTACCCTCTGATCCCTCCCTCCCCACCCCCCCCACAAAAAAGTTTACAGAGCTACAGTTAACACATGATGTTCACATCTGAAACCATTAACTTTAAACACATAATGGGGGGGATTCACCTACAATAGGATGAAGGAACAGGTGGGGGTGGGGGTGTCTGGAGGACAGAAAGTTGGGGCAAGGACAAGACTGGGGGTGGGGGCAGGGCCCGATCATCTCCATTATCAGTAAAAAATACGTGAATGAAAAAAAAAAAACTCCACCGCCATTGAAATGGCCCCAGTAGGGGGCTTGTCCCTCTGCCCCAGGGGAATAAGAAAGAAAGAAAGAAAGAAAGAAAGAAAGAAAGAAAGAAAGAAAGAAAGAAAGAAAGAAGAGTCTATTCCATTGTCTCTTGTATGTTTAATAAATATTTAATTATTAAGAAGCTATTAGCCTTGTTTGGGAAGCCACAAGGTGGAAGATGCTATTGACAGACACAGTGAGCAAAAAACATATTTTTCTTAAAATCTGTTAAATGATATTATCACGCCATAAAAATTGTGAAGTGACCTATGATATGTGTCTCACAATCCCAGAAATGGCCAAAATCACATAATGTAAATGTTTTAGGCATTACAACCGAGAGCTAACTGGTGTCTATGAAACCATCTAACTAGAAGCAAAGGGCATCTTTAATAAAAACTTGCAGAAATAGAGTGACTGATCGTCCTATCCTGGCTACGATTTTGCTGCCAATAAGTGAAGCAAGCAAGTAACTGTAATAGGTAATTAAGGCCCAGTGAATCTAAGATATGAGAGAATGGGATTAATGGCAAGAGATTATTTAAAACACAGCAACCATAATGCCCAAAGCATTCAACTTACAGGAAAGTATTTCTGAACAACACCAAAATCGATAAAACCGATTATAATCCATACCACCAACGTCAACGTTGAAATGATGATGATAAATGGGACAAAATATCCACTAAACCGGTCAGCCAGTTGCTGAATGGGTGCCTATGGAAATAAAACACCAAGACCATGGGAAATTACAATCCGCTAGGAAATACGCCAGCACAGGCATGGGCGAGCCCTGGGGTTGAGCCCCCTTGTTAATCACGCTGACTAGTCACTCTCTACTTGGCAAAATCGGCCTAATTCTATGAAACTCTTGGAATAACTTCTAAAACGAGGAAGCCAGTCATAATGACTTTTAAATTTCTTCAGTACCTTTGACATCTGAGCCTCTTCTACCAACTTCACGATCTGAGCCAACGTGGTATCGTTGCCCACGTGGGTGGCGGTAACGAGCACAGAGCCATGTGCATTCATGGATCCGGCGATCACTGTGCTCCCGGGTTTCTTCGTGACGGGCATGGCTTCTCCTGGAGGTGGGGACGAGACCTCAGCCGTCAGCGCTCAGGGACCCGGCGATGCCGTGATACCCCCCCCCGGAAGGAACGCGACACACACCACCTCACCTGTGATGAGGGACTCATCGGCCATCGTATTGCCCTCCAGGACTTTCCCATCCACCGGGAACTTTCCCCCGGGGACCACCTTGATGACATCGCCCCGCTGCACCAGCTCCATGGGTACCTGCTCCTCTCTGCAACAAATGCCACTTGTGTTACACCACGGCCGCAAACTGCAGCTCGACCCTCTTGGTTGGCCACCCAGCTGGGCTCTAGACGAAGTGTGGGACTGGTGACACGCTCTGTGCTTCACACTGGGCAGCGGTATCCGGCTCATCTGTTCACGTTCAGGTTGAGTCAGTGTTTAGTGTACGGCTACTAGGGGGCAGGCGCCACGCTGGGCCCTGAGACTGCAGCAGTGAGGACGACAGCGAGTCCCCGGCCTTGGGAATGCTGCTTCTGCAGAAGCAACAGGTGACACACAAGACAGTCCCAGGTATTAAGTGTTGTGATGCAAATAACGTACTGAAGGGCTTCTTTGGGGGTGGGGGGAGAGGGATCACCTGGAAGATGAACTGAGACCTGGATGTCAAGAGGGGCCAGGATACAGGGAAAAGAAAGTTCCGGGGGGGAAAGCCAGCTCATACGGAGGCCGTAAGGCAGGAAGTGAAGCAGGCAGTCCGGATCCCGTTGGGACTTGCGGAGCAGAGTCCGGGCCGTGGGTATAAGGTTTTTACCGGGAAGTGACATCATTTGATCCATATTTTCGAATCATCTCTCTGGCTGCCGCGTGAGAATGGGTGGCAGGGGCAACAACAGAAGCCGGGAGACGGGGGGGGGGGGTGGCTACGTGCGGAAAGAAAAGACTCAGAGGAGCTCTCCATCTGCTGCTGAGACGGAGGCCGGTGTACAGGCACAGCCGGGGGGAGGGGAGACGGAACAGGACCTCCGTTTTGGCAGCTGGCGTCCAGGGCGCATGTCGAGTAGGGGCTGGGAAACAGGCCTGGAGCTGAGGGCACTGGGCAGAGCTGGGGCACGGGCCAGGAGCCGTGCAACATGGGGTGTGCAGCCGGGAGACCTGCGAGGGCAAAGACTGGCTGTTCTAGAACTGAGCCCCGGGGCCGAGGGATGTCTGGAGGCCGAACTGGACAGGGCGGGGGGCCCTGGGGGCACACACTTCACCCCATGCTGTGCCCGGGCTCCGGCATCTCCCCAAAGCTAGGTCACACTTGCAGAGAAAAGAAAACCAACAAGAAGGTTTAAACGGAGAGACTGGGGGGTCAGGGGGGATGCTGGCAAGAGGCCCAAAGGGTTGGGGTTGGCTGCGTGGGGGAAAGGCGACTCGGGGGCCGGTGGAGCCAGCAGCTGGCCGGCTGGGCGGGGCGAGCACATGAGGCCAGGAGGCAGCAGCCCAGGTGCTTCCCCAGGGTGCTGAGTGGGGACCGGAGGGGCTGCATGGGAGGCCATGGGCCAGACGGGACGTGCGGGCCGCAGTGTGTGTGCACCGGGTGCCAGGGGCTCGGCCTGGGACAGATGGATGCATGGATGGGCCGAGGAGAAGGGCGGGCTGGTGGCCCAGCCCACGGAGGTCGCCAGGGGACCGCCACAGGGCCGCCGCCGCACGCAGTACCCCCGGCCTTTGAACGGCGTGACTTTGACCATGCGGGTTCCGTACAGGCCGGTTTGCCAGAAATAAATACAGTACCCTAAATACGTTGTCTCTTCCTGCTGATTTTCTCCGGCTTACTGTATTCTAAGATTACAGTATCTCCGGACACACAAAATAGGTGTCAATCAGCTGTTTATGTCACCGGCACGGCTTCCAGCCAACAGCAGCTTACCAGCCGTTAGGTTTTGGGGGTTGCAGGTGCACCTGGATTCCGACTCTGCCGGGTGAGTGCCCCCACCCCCACCGCTGTCCAAGGGTCACCTGTGTATCACAGGGCAGAGAAGCCAGCACGGGCTACCCCGCACGCTCCCTTCATTCTAGAGACGACGTTCAAACAGCACAAGGACTTCCGGTAAGCTGCCTACCGAGGCGCCGAGGGAAAACGTTCACGGAGTGCGTGCTGGGCACAGCTTTACATTTGTTTTTCTCACTGAATCTTCCAAAGTATATGAGGTAAGTGATATGCACTCCATTTGCGCAAAAACCTGCAGATTTCTTAGAAAGGAGCAAGACTGGACCTACATGCCCATTTCCTTACATGTCACTTGGTATAAGTCTCTAAAACTTGGCAACCAATGGGGTGCCTGGGGGCTCAGTCCGCAGAGCGTCTGCCTTCGGCTCAGGTCGTGACCTCGGGGTCCTGGGATCCAGCCCCTCCCGGGGCTCCCTGCTCACGAGTCCACTTCTCCCTCTCCCTCTGCCTTTGTGAGCTCTCTGCCTCTTGCTTTCTCTCAAATACATAAAATCTTTTTAAAAATATCTTAAAAGACAAACAAAAAACTGGGAATCAAATGTGCAGACATATTTACATCAAAAATTTTTTTAAAAATCGTGCAGGAGCATCTTCTGTAAAATGAGGACTCAAGAGCCCTCCGCACCCACAGTCCAGCTCCGCACCCCATGCTGTATGGCTGTGAGCACACGGCTGTGGCCGTGCGTACAGTGACAGGCTTGGTGCCACGTGTGCACGGTGTGCCCGGGGTCGGGGCCACAGCAGGAGCAGAGCGGACACGACCCTGCCCCGGGGAGCGGAGTCCTCCTCAGGGCACTGGTGACTCCCAGGCAGTGGTGCCATCCTGGCCAAATCCTTCCTACGATGATCCTGTTCCAGGGTTAACTGAGATGATGCGAGTTCAGCACTCAGCACAGCGCTGCCTCGCAGTGAGTGCCCAGCCAGGGTCGTGGCTTGTACTGCTGCCACCTGCCGGGCCTCTGCACAGCTGTGCGGCGTGGGGCTGGGGTTCCAGAAGGACAAAGTGGCACCTTCCTCTCGGAGGCTCACAGCTCAGGCGCCACGAGCGCAGTGGCCACGACACAACGAACAGGGTAGGAAAGGGAGAGCCTTTAAAAGGAAAAGGCGCGGTGCCCTGAAGTCTCGGGTCCGCGGGGCAGATGCCAGGGACTGTGCTGGGGGCTGGGCGGGCGGCACGAGGGCAGGAGTAGGAGTCTCCGCTGCCTGCTGCCGCTCCTTAAAGGGCCCGGGGGTGGAGACGCCCAGGCCCAGGCCCGGGCCCTCCGAGGCCCGTGTCCATGACCCGGAGGCGGTGCCCGTCAGCCCAGGTCCTCACTTGGCAAGACAGGCCGTGCCAGGGGGGCGCCTGGTCACTTGCGGTGGGACTAAGGGCAGAACCTCCTCCCCGCTGTAACCCAGCTGCTGGGTTAGAGGCTCGCTTCCATGCGACTGAAGGGGACCCCGTTGGACATGGGTGCCTTTCTGAGAAAACCTTTGTGGTGCTACTCCCTGACTAATCTAACTTTGAATTTCCCCTTTGATCGGATGGACCATATTTTTCTGAGTCTAGGCAGCTTAACCTAGGGTAAACAGAGCTTTATGGGGGTGGAGGTGGCTCCCTCTGGGGAATTCCCAGCATTTCTTCTTCAGAAGCTTGTATGGGGCACCCAGGGGGCTCAGCGGCTGAGCGGCTGCCTTGGGCTCAGTGACCCTGGGTACCGGGATCAAGTCCCACATTGGGTCCCCGCAGGGAGCCTTCTTCTCCCTCGGTCTGTGTCTCTCTCTCTCTCTGTGTCTCTCATGAATAAATAAATAAAATCTTCAAAATAAAAAAACCCGAAGCCTGTATCTCCCCAAAACTCCCTGTTGTGGGGACACACTGCGCCCTTCCTAGTACTTCTGCTTCAGGAGCTGCTGCCAGTGGCATATCCACCACACCCGTCTCCTGCCTCCCCTCCCTCCTCAGCTAACACAAAGTAGAAAGATAAAGCTGAGAAGAGAACAGCTACTAGCCTAGGTGAAATCTGTAATTGTTTTCCCAACCACGGAAGACTTCAAATGCAGGAGACTGGGGACCAGCTCACGCAGCCCGTGAATGTTAAGCACAAACACGGTGACGTCTTTAACGTTTCATGGTCATTTCAGTCATTCAACTGGTAATCTGAGCACCTGCCACCTGGGTGTCCCAGGGCAGGCAGAGCAAAGGCTTCCAGAGGACGGGGCCCCCAAGTGGAGCCCTCAAGGACAGGCAGCCAGGCAAAGGGGAAGAAGAAAGGTACGGGGCAGACCGGAGAGGCTCCCCTGGGAGCTGCCAGTGGGGTGTGGCCAGGACAAGACAGCGGGATGATGGCAGCACGAGGGCTGAGTCCGAGAGGCAGGCTGGGGCAGATGGCGAGACTCACATGCACACTGGGGACACAGACTTCATCCTGAGGACAGCTGGGAATTGCTGCAGGGTTTCCAGCTACAGAGGAATATGATCCTATCTGTGCTTCTAAGAGATCACTGGTTTGAACGTGGGAAAATATTTAGAAAGAGACCAGGCTGGAAGCAGGTGGCCAATGCAGACCCCATTGCAGTGCCACAGGGGACAGAGCGGTGGCAACAGGAAGGGGCAGTGGATGGGGGCGACCAGAGGTAACCAGCGCCAGGCTGGCCACAGATGCCCCATTGCCCAAGACTTGGGATAGAAAGAAAGGACAGGTGTTCCTGGCAGAGGGACAGAGGGAGGGACAGGCCCAAGTCTCAGTGAACGGAGACAGCTGGGGTGAGACACTCTGTTGGCCCTCCAAAGGCGCCACAGGCCAGCCTACACTAGCAGAAGCCCGACGGCCAGGCCCCAGCACACCTCCCGTTACAGAAGGTCAAGCTCCTCGGCAGGGTGGTGTATGGCCCTGGCCCTGGGAGAGCAGAGTGTGGCCACGGGCCTGTCACCGCCCACAGCCTGGAGCACACGGTCCAGGAAGGGAGGATGGGAACCATCACCCGGTCGGGCAGACAGCAACTGTGCCTCGCAGGCCTCAACTGACGCGCTCCGAGCACACGGCCTGCCCGCGGCAAGGCCAGAATGAACCCTGGTCTTCTGGGCCCTCGCTCGGGGAATGGTGCCGCCACGTGATGATGGTGGTAGTGGGGCCCATAGTATGTCCACAGCCAAACACTAACCGCCCTCTTTGGAAAAGAACTGAGCTGTGACTGGGGTAGCCCCATCGTCCTTGGGCATTTCCAGCAGCTCTGCCTTCCGGCAAAGATGCACGTCTCCTCCTACTTGACTCGACAGAGCAGCCCCTGTGGCTGTGGCCAGTACTCTCAGAAGCACTTTGAAATGAAAGGCAGCGAGGAAACCATGGCTTTGTTCCCAGTCTGGACATTTCTGGATCTCAGAAACCCTCATGTCATTAATTTATAAGGGAGTGTTTAAGTCTTAATTTGTGCAAACGTCCCTATTGCTAAATACGCCTTCCGAGTCAGAATGTGGAAGGGTCATGAGCACGGACCCCAGAACCAGGAGCCTGGGTTGTATCCCTTTCAACACCTGCATGACCTCACGCCAGTTGCTTAGCTTTTTTGATCATCAGTTTCCTCAACTGCAGAATATGGCTAATAACAGTCCTTTCCTCCTAAAGTTTGTTTTCAATTGGATTTAACACAAAGAGGCTAAATAGTGTCTGGCAGACAGTAAATGCTATAAAAGTTCCAGCAATAGCGATAATAATCATTATTGTTTTTAATATCTGCCAACCTTAGGGAGAAGAAAAAACACTTCTCCCATTTGCATTCTTTGGCCAGTGGAAGCCCCGCCTCCCAGCCTGTGCAAATCCTCCAGATCCTGCAACGAAGGTCCAGCGCGCAGTCCGTGCTCTTTGAGGCCTCCCCTGACCGCCTCCAGCCCTCCCCTCTGCATTCTGGGGACACTGCTCACCCATCCCTCTCCTCTGTCGTTCAGAGCACACACACCACGCCGAAGTCCTGCACATGTTGTCATCTGTAGACGCCTCATTAGTTACCTGGCTCCAGAGGGTGGATCTGACCCTGCACGCCTATGCCCATCCCCACAAGGTGTAACAGCATGAATGTGGTCAAGTCTTGAGGTGTATTACACAGATAAACATAAACTGGTCAACAACTCTGGATGACGAGAACCCACCTGAGGATCAAGTTGTCCTCGCCGAGGGTCACAACGGTGGCTTCCGTGGCTTGGAGAGACATGAGTTTGGCAAGGGCTTCTGAGGTTTTGCTCTAGGAAATAACCAGGACGGAGAACAAGAGCTTTCATATGCTGACCCGTGCAAAAGCAGACCAACACTCGCCAGGCTGGCGTCAGAGAGGCTGGAGTTCTAGGAAGCCCCTGCAGAAGGAGGCTGACCCCTTAACACAGCCACGGCCATGTCCAAGGGCTCCTCCGGCACGGAGGATGGAGATGCTACGCACTGCCATCCACGCTCAGCCACGTCATCGCCACACTAAATGCACAACGCCACAAAGTTCTAGGAATCACATTTCAGCTGACAAAATAAAACCAGTTTGCCTATTACTTTTTTTTAAGGTTCAGTCTAATTTCTTTAAGAGCCTGAGTCCTATTCTTTGATAGAATAGGTAAAAATGTGGGTATAATCCAAGGTGTTAAAAATGGCAGGTCCCTAGAAGATGGAAATGTGGATTTTTAGACTAATAAGTCAGTTCCATACAAAGAGGTGGTGTGAACGCTGGCCTGAAACCCAGGGTTCTTTCTATTACACAATGCGCCTCAACAAAGGTTTCAATAATTAACCAGATTAGCTGGGATTTCAGGAGTAGCAACCAGTTGGGAGATTAGTGATCAGAACACCTAATTATACGTAGGCTTCACATTTCTTTAAGTCCTTCTCTAGCCTGCGTATACCTGGTGCTCTAAACAAGGTGTTCGGGTGAATGAAGGTCTCTATTACCGAGGAAACAGTTTTTCACCCGAAGCCGCAGTTACCTTTGCTATGTGTTCCAGCCACCGCCCCAGGGCAATGAACACAAAGAGCATGGGGGGGGTGTCGAAGAAGGTCACAGGGCTCCTCTCCGCGCTCTCAGCCACGGCCACCACCAGGATGACGAGCGAGTAGGTGTAGGCGATGCTCGTGGCCAGCACGATGAGCACGTCCATGTTGGCCGCCCTGTGCCTCAGAGACCTGTAGGCCTGGACGTAGAAGTACCACCCGCCAAGGAGCTGGAAGACAGGTGGAGAGAGCACAGCTCCACAAGGGTGCCCAGCAGTCCCACGAGCAACCAGAGACCCAGAGGCCCCTCGCGGCTGCAAACGCCTGGATGGTACTTTCTCCTCGGTGAGGCTCACACAGGAAATGTGTTTCCCGATGCACAAGACCAGTGACCATAGGAACGGAGGGTCAGGGTCCTGCAGGACCTTTAAAACTCAGAGCACATAACCTGAATGTCCATCAACAGAGAAGGTGGCAATGGGGACACAAACCATGGTTGATTTATCCTGTGGGCAGTGCGATCTAGTCCTGAAAAGTAACGCGCTAGATCTAGGAACCGCTGGCATGAAAAATGCCCTGTAATGCACGGTTAAGTGAAAAAGCCAGTTAGAAATCAATTTATCTGGTATGATCTCATTCCAGTTAAAAAATAAAAAGTCTAGGTGTCCGTATTATGTGAGCACGTACACACACACACATGCACACACACAAACAAGGGTGTATTTTCTCTGCATAGATGAAGGTCTGTAACATGCACGTCCAGCTAGTAATAATACGAAGGTAATCCTGGGGAACGGTATGATTCCAGTGAAACGATATCTTTCCCTTTGCTTCTATTTCAGCGTGGTTTGAACTGTCGACAATAAATATACACCACATTTGTAATTAAAAAGAAAATACAGGAAAAAGCAAATCCAGCCTACAAATAACTGCCCTCAGATAAACTAAACATTCTAACGTTAAGTCCAGAGTTTTATCTTTTACCCTAAAACAGAGGGAGAAACACAGCTAGCTCCTGACTATCATCCCTAAAGTGGCAGTCCCACGGTGCTTGCTGCTCCCGGGCGTTTGATCACCAACAGCCCACTGTGAACGTGACAGTGACACCAGGTCCCTTGACATCCCCCCCCGCCCCCCCCCCCCGCCAGTCTTAAGACAGGAAAGAAAGCCCCTGCGGGGCAGCTGCGATAAAGCCAGGCTGGAGGGCTGTGTCTGGCCCGAGAGGGCAGAGGTTTGCCTCTTTCTGATACGCACCTGGACAAAGGTACACAGGATGAAGAAGATGAGATTCAGAATGGACAGTCCTGGAATGACGTTGTGGTCCAGGACCATGGACTCGTGGGGCGTGCTGCTGGGCACCAACATGTAGATCATCAGACCCATCACAGGGATGCCGAACACCAGGCTGCACAGAAAAGACTTCTTCCACCTGCAGAGCAAAGCAGTGACCCCGACCTCTTAGCCCTCACCTTTCTGGGACAGACAAGCAGGGGTGTGAAATGCAAGGAAGGTCCTCTCCTGACACCAGCCGCCTGAGAGATCGCCCATGGGTTTAATGTCGTAGGGACCCCCAGACAGCCCGCCTGCCTGAGGCTGACCCCCTGCCTCCTGTCTGGGGGGGAGGCAACCGAGGCCCAGGGCAGAGCTCCGCCCCAAAGAGGTTGAACATCTGGGTCCACAGGGCCACCTACAGCTCTTTTTTCAAAATAAAATCTTTGGCATCCCAGGAAAAAACAAATAAAAGCAAAACTGTATTAGCCTGAACTTCCTTTGACACCTGTGATTTTTGAACTATTACTTAACACAGTGTGAGGACTGGAAAGCCGTCTTGATGAACCGCAAGGTTTGAAGTGGGGCTGATGGGTGACAGCTGTGGTCTCGTGTCCGCGTCCGCGGGACCCCCACCACGCGTCGTGGAAGCTCTAGCGCGCCTCCACTGGGGTCTGCAAGACGCAGTCTTCCACTCCCAGGAGGGCCCGGGGCCCCGAGGATCAGCCCCTCGCTAGCTTCCCAGAGTGCCCCTCCAGTCAGTCCCGGCCTGCTCCAGGCATGCTGACCGGAGCAACACAGGGGTCCCCGAGGGCCACCCGCCTCCATGCCCCAGAACACCCTCTTTGCACCCCTGCCCCAGCCTCCCGGGCCCAGGTCACGGGCCCTGCTGGCGGCTTCCCAGGTGCCCCGAGCCCACAGGATCCGCTGCCCACCTACAGGCCCTCCAAGGCGGGGATGGGCTGCCGTTGGTCCCCCGCACCTGGCAGAGTGCCGGGCCAATGCCGGCGCCCTGCTGTGTGCTGAACCCCTGCAACAATGAACGAGCTCAGGCCTCCTGCTTCCTAGGCCGACGGCTGTGGTTCCTGCCCTCAGAGCCACCTCTAGACCCCATTCAAGGAAAGGCCACTCTCTTCCTCCCAACTCCAGTTGGCCCCCGGCCAGAGGTGGCCATTTCCATGAAAATCAGCAGAGATGAAATGAAATTGGAAATTTAGTTCCTGTCATAATAACTGCTCAGTAGCTGGCGGCCACTGTACTGAGCAGTGCGGACCTAGAGCACTGCTGACATCGCAGGAGACGCGGAGGGCTGGCTCACGGGGGCAGCACAGACGTCTCCCAAGTGGAGGGTGCCGCAGGACGCCCACGAGCACGGAGCCTGTCAGGCCCAGCGAAGGGGACACCCACAGGAGCCCCGCGTGTCTCTCGGTCTCTTCTGTTCTACCTACTGCTTTATTTCCACCTTGTGATCCAAGTGATGCGCGCTGGGGTTTCTCTGGGCCGGGGAAGCATGAAAGCCGATTTCCTTATTATTAAAAAAGAAAGAAGTGAGAAACAAGGGGAAAGCACTTGGTTAAAACATGCGTTGGCAGAGAGCATTTTACATCTTTTGAAATTAGCAAGTTAATAAAAAACTGCCTCAAAAGACTGTATTGGTTTCTCGGCAATGGCTTCTGCACCCAAATCACACTGCAAACCCTGTCAGAGGTCCAGCCCCATCTGCACTCAGGGACGGCGCCGTCCCCAAGGGGATGGCCTTACATGGCGACTCCCGTTTGTTCTGAGGGCAAAGGCGGCAGGTTCTGGGAGAGACTTCAACATGCCCCGAGGCTCATCGATGGCTTTGGCGGGCCGGACCCCCTGAAATCCCCACGCGTGCCCCTCCCCTCACCGCGCCCTCACGCAGACCTCACACGGGGAGCGCAGTGTCCGCCACAGAGCGTGGCGGGGAGCAGAGGCCGGAGCCTGTGGCAACTGCTCTGATTTTCCAACCGAGAAACGACTGGACTCTCCCATGAGGAAGCCGGCCTAGCAGAGGGGTCAGACTCAGGGTAACCCACTACCTGCATCCTTTGGTCTGTGGATACTTGGTACGGACCTAAATAATGTTTATAATGACAATCAGCTGATTAAAGCCCATGTGCCAGCTGTCTGGCTGGTACTGAGGTTTCCCAGGGAATACCTGCAATCAAAACAATAATATCCCTCTCTTACCCAGTCACTGATTTTCACCTCAGATTGTCTGATATTTTCTTTTATTAATTTTTTGGCTAGCTATATTTTCTTGTTTTTCTACAACAATTCTAAATCACCGTTTTAAAAAAGGTGGGCTACCTCTTAAACTGAAGCACAGCGGACACACGGTGTCAGATTCCTTTGTGCAATGCTTTCTGATGAATGACTTACCTCGATAACTTTGACAATATCTCGCGGACCGATGATTTCAGGATCGAACTTCACGTGGGCTTTGCTGGTGGCGAGGGCCACAGAGGCATAGGTGATGCCGGCCATCCTCGTGAGTTTGGACTCTATGTTGTGAACACAGGACGCGCAGGTCATCCCCGTGATCTGCCGCACAGGAGGACAAGATCACTACTCACCCAGGGTTGAGAGGATCCGTCAAGGCACACAGGGGGGGTTGGGCTGAGAGGCAGCCAGAGCCCTTCCTCCTTCCTCGGCTCCGTTCCCACGGCTCTGGACCCCCACCTGCAGAGCCCGCGTGCAAGGTTTTCACCCAGGATGCTCCCCCAGTGGCTGCGGGCACGTAAACAGTGGTTCTTCCCCCAACTCAGGGGCAAGAGACGTAGCCGGTCACTAAGCAGACGGCAGCAGACCGACTCCTGACTTCCAGCTGTGACAGTGATGGGCTTTTGTAAGCCAGGCCGTGCATCCCGATGTGAGAAAAGGGGTTTGAGGTGAGACAGGCCATCCCTGCGATGTAGTAGCAGCCAGACAAGTCACTCTTCTGGGCGTCAGGGGTCAACATTTCTCAGATACTCATTTAACAGATGTAAAATGTCTACACTGTCTGAACACGTGATGATGATACAACTGTTGATACTGCTTCGTTTCACAAAAAGAACACTGTTTTCACCCTTCCCAGTAATATTCACAGTGTAGGTCTCCCCCGTGGTCTGCAAGCAGAGGCGGCTGGGGACTGGGGGTCTCAGTGAGGGCCCCGCTCCTGCCCAGGGGGTGCCCGGGGCTGTGGCCCGTCCAGAGCAAGGGACGCCCCTGGTCGAGAGCTCAGGGTGCTACTCGTGCCCTTAGTCCTCTTTCTTCCAGTATTTACTAACCACCCACGGCAGCGACTAACAGTAAGGAAGACCCTCCTCAGTGCAGCAGCATCACTCAGTTCCTTGTGGGTTTTTCCTAAGTCTCTATTTGCACGAAAAGAGCTTTAAAACACAAGTGCTGGGGAATGCTAGCCTACGCACTGCGGCAAAGATTTGCCGTCCTGTACGGGGTAAGGGCGACGGACTGCAAGCCGGAACGCCCGGCACCACCACCTCCCCACCACACTGGCACTGAGCTGAGTGTGTGAGGCCCGGGCTACCACGCCTACTACCCCTGGCAGTCTGGCCTCCCTCTGGGCTTTCTGGAATGTGTTCATACTCAACGCCCTCAAACCCAGGCTCTGGACACTGACGTTTTCTCTTCCCCCTACACTCCCACCATTCGCTGCCTCCTCCTCCCCACAGACCTTGACTGTGACATGACTGAATGGGTCATTGTTGTTGGCTTCAAAGGGAAGCAACCCCCCCACCCCCGACACACACACACAGGACATCTGCACAACGGGAGGCGTCTCCCGGGCGGCCACCGCGGAGGCTGTGGCCTGTGGCCCCGGCTGGCGCCCAGCCGCCACACTTACGATCAGCTCCAGGTCGCCATCGGAGCCCACGTAGTCTTCCAGCACCGTCGCCTCAAAGCCTAGGTCCTGGATGAGCTGAGCGATCTCCAGTGGCTGGATGACGTCTGGGTGATACTTCACCTCTGCCTTTCCGGCCATCAGGGCAACCAGCACTGAGACGACGCCTGGAACCATGGGGCCCGGTTAGAACAGCGCAGGCAAGGCCTCTGGGGTGCATCCAACATAACCTAACAAAGACAAACATCGGCCCCAGAAGCCTCCCAATCAGGAGTTCTCAAACTTGACTGCACATGAGGATCACAGGGGGAGCTTTTAGCACTCCCCATGCTTGGCCCTAACCTCACACCAGTTAAGTCAGAACCCTCAGGGTGGGCGTCAGGCATCTTTTTTTCTAAGCTCGCCCAGAGACTGGCCACGTGCGAGAACCAGCGTTCCAGAACAGTGCTTCCCAGAGTCTGGTGGGCCGTGTTCGATGAGATTCTGGTTTGGTCGGTGTGGGGCGGGTCTGAGGTTCCGCGGGTGCCCCCAGCACCCAGGCCATGCCCGTGCTGCCGGCCGGGGGTCCTGAGGCAGGCTCCAGAGGACACTGAGGATGCGCCCATCTCACAGCCAGCTCGCAACTACTGGCTCCTCAGCTAGACGTTTTGCTTCAGACACGCTTCATACACAGAAAACAAGTCTTTCGAAAGTAGTGTTCCTTACCCTTTCACTCTCTAATCCCTTTCAGAAGTGGAAGAGAAATCCCGGACTACAGACCATCAGCTCCAACTGACAACAGTTTGGCTTACAACTTTTTGACTTTCTGATGGTGCGAAAGTACAGCTTCAGGAGAAACGGACTCCAAACTTTGGGTGTGGGCCTTCTCCGGGGCTGGCGCGCTGCTGCGCGGGGCTCCGTGGCAATGCCAGGCAGCAGCTCAGGGCCTTGGCTCCCACCTGGCTATGCCATCCTGAGGGTGAACGACTGATGCACGTTCTGACACAGTTCAGGTTGGTTTGGCCAAGCTCTGATGTTTGGTAGGTCCGGGGCATTAAATGCATTTTGACTTACAATATTTTCAACGTATGATGGGTTTATTGGCACTTGACACTATCGTAAGTCCGATGAGATCTGGATCTTGCTAGCACTAGTGTGTGAGTTTGAGGGGGAAAGGAAGACTCATTCACGTGAAAGAAATGTGCTTTAGAAAGGAGGCCATACTGGATAAAAAAGAAGGATTCAAGTCAGGAAAAGAAGCAGAGGCACCAGGAGAGCCAGCCCATGGGTGAGGAAGCATGCCTCAATTTGCCAACAGCCGTTTGGGAGCTCCAGGACACTACGAAGCACGGGGAATGAGGGGCTGGGAGTGTGTCCCCAATTCAGGGCTGGCCACGCAGGCCAAACAGCCTGAGCAGAGAGATACACGAAAAGAGAGAAGGTGACTCCGGTGGCAAGGTAGTCATGGTTAAGATATTTTCCAAACAAAAAACGGATAAAATTTTTGCTGCATTTTCAGGTTTAAGGGATAGTACTGGAAATATAGTTTAGATGATAAAACTGAGGCATGTCTACAACACTCTGTGGTTCACAGGCGCAAAGGACGGGGCATTTAAAACGGCCACTTCTGGGCCCCTGGGTGGCTCGGTCAGCGAGGCGTCTGCCTTCAGCTCAGGTCAGGCTCCCCAGCCTCTATGCTCAGTGGGGAGTCTGGTTCTCCCTCTCCCTCTGCTGCTCCTCCTGTTCATGCTCTCTCGCTTGCTCACTCTCCAAAATAAATAAATAAAATCTTAAAAAATAATTAAATTGCCACTTTTTTTTTAAATTCTTTTTTTTTAAAAAAGATTTTATTTATTCATAGAGACACACACGGAGAGAGAGAGAGAGAGAGAGAGAGAGAGAGAGAGAGAGAGATTGAGAGGCAGAGACACAACACAGGCAGAGGGAGAAGCAGGCTCCATGCAGGGAACCTGATGTGGGACTCGATCCGGGATCTCCAGGATCACACCCCAGGCTGCAGGCGGCCCTAAACCACTGCCCTAAATTTCCAATTCTCCACAAACTGCAGGCTATGTAGTCTGGTGACAGTGCGAGGCTGATGGACAGGGCTGGAGGGAAACTAGAGATGACCCCCAGGACCGGCTGGAGGGGGAAGCTACCCACGGAATGTGCTGGGACGTTCACCTGCCCTTCCCATCACTAACTCACACTGATACCTTCTATCTTAAACACTTCCTAAAGAGCAGAACGCCAGGTGCCCAAGAACACTGACAAACACTTCCGCTATGGCATCATGGACTTGCTGCCAGGGTATCAGGGCTGCTGATAACGCAGGGAGAGCATGGTGCCCACCCTGCTGCCCGCAGTGTCTCCCCAGTCTAACAGGGGTGCACAGCTCTCACCTGCTTCTTTCTGCAGCTTTCTCTCTATGTTGGACACACAGGATGCACAGGTCATGCCTGTGATCTGTAAAAAACACTTCTGTGCTGCCACAGGGGTAGAGGCTGGTGGGGACCTGGACGGGCGGCCAGGGCTGTGGTTTCCAGGGAGCCCCTCAGTGTGAGGAGCCCCTTCCTGCACAGACACAGGTACGCCGGCTGTGGTGTGCGCCGAGGAATTCCCCGAACTGTGGTTTCCAACATGGTTGCTGTAACCGTTTTCTAGGATAAAATATAAGAAATCATTCAGATTCAAAGAACAAATGACTAAAAAAAAAAAAAAAAAAAAAAAAAAAAGAACAAATGACTTTTTTACAACAGGAGGTTGAAGCCTGACAGTACTGGTGACAGCTCCCCACGAGGCTACACTGGGGCCGGTGCTCCCATCACGCCCTCCCCCCAACCAGAGGCAGAGGCACACAGTCGCAGACATACGAAAAGATGCCAATACTCAAGAATGGAACCTTCCAGTTGGATGAGTGCTCTAATTAGATGATGACAACAAGAAGAACTCAACAGGCCCTCTGCTCAGCACATGGATGACCTCCTTGAAATAGCTCTCTGTGGTTCACACGACTATCATCTCCATCTTACAGATTAAGAAATGAGTTAAAGAAATTTAAAAATGTGCCCACGACCCCTCAGGTAGTAAGCAATAAAGCTAGCTTCCAAACCAGGCCTCTTTACCCCCAGGATCTGTGCCTTTAACCAGTAAGTATCCCATTCTCGTTAGCAGAGGTTCGCTCTCTCTCGACGAGAATCAAAAGGACCCAAAACGCCTCTCCTGAGTTGTTCACCTTTCCCTCGTTGTGTGGCTGAGTCCGGTCTGTGTTCTGGACCCAGATCCTTGTCAGGGGTCCACACTGCACCTACCTGCCCCGGGCCGTGCTCTGCATCTGCACTCATGCCCCACGGTGGCACTTTTGATAGAACAAGTCCTGAATGTTACTGAGGCCCAACGTAGCGACCAACTAAACCAACTTTAACGGTTAGTAGTTCTGTGCTCCGGGAGCAGATCTGTCCGCCTGAACACTGAAAATATTCATACTGCTTTCTTCTAGAAGCTGTTACTTTAGTAAACCTCCACACTGGGCCTCTGACATACCGCAACCTAACTTTGGGTGGCTAAGAGGTCAGAGTGAGGGTTAATCTTTTTTCCATTTGGATATCCAGCTGATCCAGCCCGTAAACTGAAAAGACCATCCTCTCCCCTGCTGAGTTCTGGGGATGAGGGCGCAGATGCCATTGGGGGCCGTGTTCTGCCCACCACATATGTACCTACACATATAACCAATCACCCAGACCTGGAACGTTTTCATCACTCCACAAAGTCAAAGTCACACAATTTTGATGACAGAAAGTACTTTTAAGAATATACGAAAGAAAAAAAAAAAGAGTATATACAAAAGGTAATTATATCATTTAACAATAAACTCTCAGTACTTGAAAATCCACAGCTGCAGAAGACAGGAGTTGGCAGTAACGTGTACCAACAATAGGCCAGGACTTTAAAGGTTTTCTAAATAAATCTCATGTCCTGGGCATCCTGGGATGTTTTTGCTCATTTTCTGGAAGGTGCTTAAAGACTATTGCTACTCATTCTGAGTCCAGCTGATTGCCGTACAGCACCTTCAGTGAAGACCCTCCACCACTCCAGCCTTACGGGACGCCTCTACCTCTTGCTACAGAGCCCACATTTCACCCACCAGCACAGGTATATGCTCCTGGACGCTGGCATTGCTCCAGATGACTCTGCCCTTTGGATCTGAAATTCATAAAAGCTGTATTGTGGCCACACCTCTCCACATTCTATCTCCTGCACCCTACGATCCCTCCCATACCCATCAACCTGCACTGTACCTGTCCAACCCTCCTGCACCTGTTCAACCCCCTCACCTATTTTCTGGGTTCACCTGCCCTTCTATCCAAATATCGTGGTCCACAATTTTAATAATATTTCTACTATTACAGAGAATTTCCTACCCCCTACTAACCTGTAATTTGCACTCTGTCATTCTCCCACATTGGGATCTAACTCACCTAAATTCTGGGCTTCAAGAGATTACTAAAGAAAATTGAAATGAACCAACAAAACCCAAACAAGACCATGCTACTGAGTCCTTTTTCTTTACCAATCTACACTAATACTATGGGTGGGCATGTAAATTGATTTGGTTTTCTGGAAGTCTACTGGACAACATTATCAAAAACAGTACCTCTAGCTGCTTGACACTTAGTAGAGGCATAACAAATTATTTGTAAAGTTTATATTCTGTGACCCCCCAGTAATTATGCTTTCAGGTATTTATCATAAGGAAATAACTAAGTCTGTGCATAAAATGTAGCATCAGATATGTCCATCAGTATTACTTATAATCACATTAACACAAAGTACATGAGAACAGTCCAATGGGAAACTGATTGATTAAGTCATGGTGTATCCATACGACGGATGCTACGCAGCCATGAAGCGTGGTGTTGCAGACCTCTGGACGGAGCGGTAAGCATGGTATGATACACTGTAGGGTGAAAGAGGCAACCAAACCACCATGTATAACGCAAATCTATGTTATTCCTAAATATAAATAGTATATGCTTTGGGAAAAGCCCAGAAGAGTATATGTGAAATGAAGTGCACCATGTGGGTACCGGGGGAAGATGCACCCTGCATTGTAGACAGGCAGGATAACAAATACAAGACCCTGAGGTGAGAACAAGCCCGACAGGAGGGCTGGAAAGGGGTTGGTTAGACAGGCAGGGAATCAGGGAGGGGGCTTCTAAATGACCCTGAGGAAGGCTTCAGTGCATCAACAGAGTAACAGGACCACTGCGAATGCTGGGCAGGGAACAGACTGGAAGCCTAAAAGGCAAGAAAACAGCAGGGAGACTAGTTCAGAGCCTCTTCCAGAATCCAGGACACACACGACGGTGGCTTGTACCAGGTGCTGGCCTGTCTGCCCTCATCGCCCATTACCTCTACTCAAGTTCCACCCAAGCGACACTGCTCCCAGGACGTGGCAGGGACTCCCGCCAGGGCACGTCTGCTGTGTCTCCTCCGTCTTGTCTGGTGCAGTCCTGCCCTTTTCTGCCCGCTGAGATCCTATCCATTCTGAAGTCTTACCCAAGTCCAGCTCAAAGTCACCTCTACCACCAAGTCTTTGGGGCCCCACACCCAGATGCTGGTTTTCTCCTCATCTTCTGAATCCCAAGAGCGCTCCACCCACACTCTCCCTGTCACATGTATTCCAACCTGCCTTGGGTGAGGGGTCTCTGATCTGCTTCCCTGTTAGAGTGTGAACCACACGTGGCCAGGTCCTGGATGGCCTCTGAGCCCTCGGGGCAGCCAGCACAGTGCCTGGGACCCAGAAGACCCTCAACACAGGTGGGAGGAGGGAGCAGAGCCCCCAGAGTGACACTACCCATTTATTTACAAGGATGGGGGAACATGGTACACATGGCAGATGACTTGTCTTCACAGTGTATTCACAGATTCACTCATGTGTTCATTCGTTCATTCAAAAAATACTCACCATGCAAACCATTGCACAAATGCAGAGCTGATTTCTAGAAAAAAAACCAAGTCTAGGTTTATTTTTAGCTGTCAAATAAGCTGGACTTCAACGCCTGCCACTTGCCTACACGCTGTCGCATGGTTCCCTTCCCTCTCCCTTCCCTCTTATCAAGGGGGCTGATCCTGCAAAACCACTTTTCCCAGGCTCCCTTGGTAACTGGTTGCTGGTTAAATCTGGCAACGGGAGGTCACAAGTGGGGTACAAAAGGGCAGCAAGAGAGAGCCGGTGGCGTCTCCCATCTGTTGCCGGGGCCCGGCTCCTGCTGCGGCCTCACCTGTCGGCCCCAGGGCTGCTGGCTTGAGCCAGGCCACCTTGGCCCCTGGGCTCCTGCGGTGCCCTCCACCCTCAGACCCTCCTGCCCAGGGTGCCAGCTTCTGCCAGCAGTAACCTTTCGGTTTCCTTCCCCTTCCCTGTTTGGTTGTTCAGCTCCCTCTAACATCCCTCAGTAGTTCCCTGGATTAAACCCCACCACCAAGCACCCCCCACCCCCACCCCGCGAGCCTGCTTGCCAGTCTTGTCTTTTCCTTTCCCTCCCTTCATAAATCCCTACTGTGTGTTGGGTGCTGCTGGGCCCGAGGAGAAGCTGATCCCATGGTGTGAAGACCGTTTCAAGGAGCTCCTCTTCCTGGTTGAACCAGAATGACCAATCGAATACAAATAATGCCTTTTAGCATTTAAGTGGCTTTAAAGATAGTCACCAGCACACTTACAGTTTATCCTATATATTTTTAAAAGATTTTATTTATGTATTCATGAGAGACCCAGAGAGAGGCAGAGAAACAGGCAGAGGAAGAAGCAGGCTCCGTGCAGGGAGCCCAACACGGGACTCGATCCTGGGACCCCGGGGTCACAACCTGAGCCAAAGGCAGACGCTCAACCCTCGAGCCCCCCGGGTGCCCCTGGTTTATCCTAAATTTTAAGACCACCAGATGAAATACAAAACAGCCAGCTAAATTTAAACTTCAGATAAACAACAAATAACTTCTTAGTATAAGTATATTCCAAATATTGCATGGGACACACTTAACTAAAACGGTATTCACTGTTTACCTAAAACTCAAATCTAATTAGGTGTCTACATTTTTATTTGCTAAATCTGGTACACTAAACACCCCTTGGGCTAAAAACATAATTCTCATCATTCGGGCCAATAAAAATCACTGTCCTTTTCTTTCTAGATTTAGTCAAATCCAATTATTCTGGATTATGCAGCTCAATGCAAATTTCTTTTTACTGCCAACAACCTGACTGTAGTTGAAAGACTTGAAACCACGCACAAACACAGTAGACGATGACTCTACTACATTTCCTACCTTTTACGTACAGGATCTACTGTTCCCTTGTGTTTTCCTTATTGATTTTTGTTTAAAAATAAACTCCTTCCTGAAACTTGGTACAAAAGACAGAGCAGAGAACGGGGCCAAGTCAGTGCACGTGACGGACCCACGCCCTCTATGGGGTGTATGCAGGGAAGCACAGGCCGCAGCCGCGGGAGGCCCACCGCCAGCTGGCCCTAAGTGCCGATGAGGGTCCCCGCCCACACGTCCCCACTAGTGCTGGGCAGCCATGGGCCACAGCACCCTGGTCCCCCCGCGCCCTGGGATCTGAGCCGCCCACACAGCTGTCCTCCACGTCCGACGCCCCTCGTCACCTCCAGGCTCTCTGCACACTACACGCCCTCTGTACCCATCACCTCCTCCACCTCCTCCATCCCTCCTGGGCTACGTGTGTCCTGCCCCCTCCCAGCCCCCCCTTCACTTCCAGGCTGCCCGGGTGGTGCTCTGGGGAAGTCTCCTCCTCCAGACACCCTTCCTTCCTCACCAGCGCCTTCAGGGCCCTCCCTCTGCCCTTCCCGGGTCACACCCCCTTTCTGTCCTCTGTCCCTCCCATGGCTACCACCTGAAACTGCACTTCCAGCCCCCCTTCCCCGGAATTCAGCTCCAGACCCAGCTGCCCAGCACCTGTGGCCGCAGGCCCTCCCTCTCTTCCACAGTCGCCCCATCACCCCCTCCTCTGGACCAAGCTCTGAAGGTCGTTCCAATGCCTCTCTTGCTCCCCAGCCACAGGCATCCCTCCCCCGCCTCCATCCCTGCTGCACTGCTCAGGTGTCAACTCACCTGTGCTGCCTCTGGAGAGACGCTTCCTCGCTTCCTCGCATTTAGAGGCCGAGCTGAGCTCAACAGGCTGGCCCACGCGGAGCGGCCACCCGCTGACCCACCCACTGACTGGCCTGTCTCGCCACCCTCCCAGGTCCTCACCCCTGGGCTGCTCTCGGCCACCCCAGCCCACTGAGCGGCCTCCCGGCCTCCCCATCCCCGTCCCCTGCCCTCACAGGCTCACGCGGAACGTGTCCTGCTCACGGGCCCCGGCACAGGGCAGAGACGCACGCCTCTCCCCACGGCTGTCAAGGAGGCCAAGGAAATCATGACAGAATCCCCATTAATTCTTAATTCCCACTTTCAACAGAATGGGCTCCAGGTGGTGAGACTAAGGTTCTATTTTTCTGGTTTTGTTCGGCAGAGAAATCTGAGAATGTGATGACGGTTCCTCTGGAGAGAGAAGATCCTGACAGTCCCACAGGGCTCTTTTTTAAAAAGAATACAGAATCCAGAGTTCTCTTCAGTTAAAAACAACAACAACAACAACAACAAAGAATTTAGCAATGTAGTCCCAGTCCCATGAGAGGCAAAATCTACACGCCAGAAAGTTCTCTTTCTCCCACCTGGACACATTCAACACACAGGGAAACGCTGCGGGACTTGGCCAACCCGACAGGCGAGCAGCTGGGGTGGCTCCCCCGTGCCACCCTGCAGGCACTCTGCTGTAAGGCCCAAGGAGAAAGGAGAAGACCCGGGGTGCCATTACATACCAGAGAGGACTGAAGTCTCAAATCCCATCTCCTCGACGGCAGCTCGGAGTTCTTCCGGGCCAATTATAGAGGGATCATAGAGCACCACTGCGGTCCCTTCAGCCAGAGAGACAGATATTTGCTGCACCCCTTCCCTCTGGGAGATCAGGCCTTCGATGGACTGGACGCAGGAGGCACAGGTCATGCCCGCGATGGCGAGCATCACAGTATCGCACCTGCCCAGTGCGGGGGTTCTCGGGGCGGGGGCGGGGGCGGCACATGCAGAAAACCTGTTACCTGTCTCACTTCCTGCTGCTGCTGCAGGAAGAGAAACTTTAAAGTTCCCTGGTGGGAGAGCTTCAATGGCCCTCTGCAGGGCCCCTGCAGTGACACAAGAAGGGTCATACTGTACTTGGGCCGTTCTGTTCTCCAAGGACACTTGTACATTCTGAACCCCGGGGAATTGGCCTATATTCTCTTCAATGTTCAGGACACAAGACTGACAGTGCATTCCGTCGACTCTCAGCTGCAGGGTAACCAGATGGCTCCCTTGATGGCCCAAGGTCTCAGAGTTATTGAGATTCTGGTTATCAGAAGTCAAAGGCATCTTTGGGTTGGTCCTCTGTAACCGCCCAATATCAATGGGTCCCAGGCTTACGGGTGCCCCTCTGTTCTTGATGACAGCTTCAAACCCCATGTCGTTTACATGGTCCCTGAGGTCCTGGGGTTGAATAAGATAAGGCTGGTAAGTGATGACTGCCTCCTGGGTGCTGAGGGAGACCCGGACTCTTGCTACCCCTTGCAGCTTTCCGAGCTTGCCTTCGATGGAGCTGACACAGGACTGGCAGGTCATGCCCTCTACCCGAAGTCTGACCACAGCCTCGAGGCCAGGCGAGGACCTCGAGGGCCAGGAGGCAGCCTTTCCTTCTGCAACGCTGGCCTCGAAGCCCATGTCCTCAATGTGACGGCAAACCTGCGGCAGGCTCAGAATGGACGGCATGTACTTCACAGTCGCATTGCCTTGTTCCAGGGAAACCTTAATGCTCACGATGCCTTTCAAACTGGAGATCCTGCCCTCGATGGACCTTACACACGACTGGCAGGTCATACCCAGAATGCTGATGGTGCTGGTGGCCGTCTGAGGAGGGCACACACTGTCCAGGCCACCTTCGTAGCCGACATTGTCAAAGGCGAAGCTCTGCTTCATCACTGGTTCCCAGGCACGAGTGGGCAAAGAAAGTTTAGACAGGATCTAAAAGGAAAAGAAATGCCACTTTTTAATCCTTGAAACTAAATATTTGCTTAAATATCCCGGCTGGTCTGGCACTGAGAAAATGGACAACAATGCCACTGTGTCAAAACGTCCTGAGAGTTTATGGTCAGAAAATGCAGGGAAATAAAGCTATAAACATGTTATTGGCCAAACGAAGTGGTTCTGATGGGTTTCTTTCAGCTTCAACAGTCTGCAGCTGTGAACCCAGATGTCAACAGCCCACCTTGGCAAGACGTGTTTCCTAACCTAGACAATGTGGAGGTCTCTCTAGGGAAGGAAGAGAGCGTGATGCGGCTCACGCACACAGAACGAGCACAACAGCACCTCTGCTGCGACCTGCAATCTCCCTGCAGAACTTGGTGCTCTGAGCTTGAACTCTGGGGATCCTGCTGCAGTGTATGTATGGAGGACGGCAAGCACCTGGATTCTGTCTCTCCAGGGGTGCTGTCCGTCTCATTCTCTTAGCAGGGGTTAAATTTAACAACCACTGGGCACGTGTTCCAAATGCAGACCTCCGGGCCCCGTGGGGTCAGACCACATGCCTGTGATAAAAGGTCTGGAAGTGTGTTTGGTGAGCCAGGGGAAATGAGCACAGAGTGGCTGAAACCAAGAGGGGCAGGAGCGGGAAAGCCCGAGGAACCTCCAAGGCCTGCCTCCATTGAGTGTCACTGCCCGCACCCCCCACCCCCCGCCCCCAGAAGTCTGAGACAGGGCTTCCAGAAATTAAATGGATGCATTATCTTAATGTACCAGAGTACAAGCATGATTTCCTGACTTCTGTCTTCCCATCATCATGTGGCTTCAGCCATTCTATGAACAAAACCCAATCTTCCTTTCACAGGGTCCCAGCCTCCCCACACTCCTGAGTACATATAGTTTTTATACTGGTACTATTGCATGCTCTGAAATTCCGCAACAGGCCTTTCTATACAGCACATGATCAAAAAGCATGTCATCGTCTGTGCTTTCACAATCCTTACATCTCCACATGAATCTGTTACGTGGATTGATCCATATCCCAGGGTATAAAACAACTTCAGCTTTTGAGCAGCTCAGCAAAATGAAAGTTTAAATGATTTTTAAAACTGACTATAAATGTTCATTTATACATCTGCAAAGGAAATCCTAAACTTGTCTGGGATTAATAATTATAAAGAAATTTTTTTTTAAGATTTGATTTATTTATTCATGAGAGACATAGAGAGAGAGAGAGAGAGAGAGAGAGAGGCAGAGACACAGGCAGAGGGAGCAGCAGGCTCCATGCAGGGAGCCCGACGTGGGACTCGATCCCGGGTCTCCAGGATCAGGCCCTGGGCTGAAGGCGGCGCTAAACTGCTGGGCCCCTGGGCTGCCCTAAAGAATTGTTTTAAACAATATTCACTATGGTATTTCCTAAATAGTAGAAAAATGGAAATAATTAAGTAATTCATGGGACAGCAACTCAAAAAAGATTTACTGCATTAAATAAATATACTGAAACTACCTGTGGTATAAATATGGAAATGCAGTATCTGATAAGGATGACACAGAACAAGAGTATTAAAGGACAATTGGGAGAAATGGAATTTGGAACCTATATATGAAGAGATATTTCAGAGAGCTCAGAGATGAAGATGTAAAAAGCAAAAGAGTAATAGTACTACAAGAAAACACAGGAAAATACCCATTATAATCTCAGGCAGGGGAAAATCTAAATATGAAAAAAAGAAACAGAAAATTAAAAATATTCAAAAGCTACAGAAGACTGATAAATCTAACCACAATTAGAGAAAACATCGCTATGACCAAAGAAAAAGATAAATGAGAAATGGAGGGGGAGAAAAGATTTTACTTTGTATTAAGAGATCATTTCCTTAAAATATAAAGAGCTCCTTCTAGGAAGAAAAAGGCCAACAATCAAACAGAAAAAAAGGCAGTCCATCAAAAAGGAAATGCAAATGGCTTTTCAACAGACGCAGAAACAACAGAAAGGCAGGAGTGTGACATTCCAACAGCCCTGAAGTACTACCGGGGCTGGCACCGTCAGCCCACTCCCTAGAGGGGGTGGGGGTGTAACCTCTCAGGAGGGCAACCTGGCAATGCACATTAAAATGACAGATCCAACTATTCTTTGATCCAGCAACTCCATCTCTAAGAATTTACTCAATAAATATATTTGTACATGTATAAAAGCAAGCATGCAGCAAGGGTATTAAATACTGCAAAGAACTGGAAACATAAATGTCCCTCAATAAGAGGTTGATTAATTCAATTACTACACAGCTATACAAAGAACAAATATCCAGCTCTTTAAAAAGGAATGAGGTAAGTCTATATATACTGAAATAGATTATCAAATATATCAGCCAGTGAAAAAAAGCAGGACACAGAATACAGGGTGAATGCAGTGTTTCAGTTTTCTGTTGCTGCATGCAAACCAAATCTAGGGCTCAGAAGACCGCTCACAGCGTTTCAATTTGGACACCGCTCAGCAGGGAAAGCTGGTCTCTGCCGTGGCACAATGGGGCTGGAGGAGCCACTTTCACGAAGATGGCTTGTGCGTCACATGGCTGGCAAATTGATGCTGGCTACTGACTGGAAGCCATGGGCAGGGACCTCAGTTCTCTTCCATGAAGCCTCTCCATGTGGCTAGGTCGGGTACCTCACAGTAGCTGGTTTCTGGGTTCTGAGAGGCAGTGTCCCAATAGTGAGCATTCCCAGAGAACAAGTCCCAATGCATTAGCACTTACCAAGCCTCTGTGTGCATCACACTTGCTAACTCACCTTTAGCCAAAGCCAGTCACATGGCCAAGACCAGCCAATCCGGGAGGGAATTATTTAAGGGCTTAAATACAAGGAGGCAGAGTCTATTAGGAAGGCCACCAAAGTCGGTCTATCATAGCATGCTAGCACTATTTGTAAGAAAAAGAATATTATCCACATAGCTGATTGCATATGCACGGACTATCTCTCAGAGAATAGGTAAGAAACCGGTATGGAGAAAAAAAAAAAAAAAAAAAGAAAGAAACCGGTATGGAGACTGAGGAGTATCTGGAGCTGAGGCACAGGAATAGGAAGAGTTACTTTTTAGTGTCTGACCTATTGTATAATGTACATGCATGACCAAATGCTGAAAAATAATCAGTTTAAAAATTAAAATAATGAGTATAAACGAGATCTAGAACAGCGACTTGATTGTAACTGGTATTAAATACTTGTTTAATTGAAAAAGATGAAAGAAAAACTAAGATATTCGAGAATGCTCACTTTAATATAGGATCTTAATAAGCAGAACTGCCTCCTTAAAACCAGACACAACCCCCAATCACCAAGTCTGTTGGCAAAACAAATCCTTAATAATTTACTATCCAACTTATTTTGCTTGGTCCTGGGTGGGTCTAGCTAAAACTCACCAAACTCCAAGCCACAATGCTAGCTCTTAATCCCAGGATTAAGGATTCTATGCTCCTGCCAAAAAGGTTTGCAGAAGCATTGGAAGCTATTTGTTTGTAGCAAACAATACTCAGAGGTCCCCCTTCTAGACAGGCAGGTTTCTAAAAGACAAGTAGTTACGAAAGATAAAGCTTTGCATGCAACACAACTTCATGAAACACCAGAATCTCTGTTGGTTTATTTGCAACCTCATAACAGTTGCTGGATATGTGAATAGTCTTTAAGTATATACACAAGGTGTGTGTGTTCCATTCTTCAATTAAGAGGATCTTTGGGAGAAAAAACTCTAATTAGTTCAAACAAACCAACAGGTTGATGTTTAAGGGCTCATCAAGCAATCATGGATATTTGAGAGGGGGTCCAGAGAAGACCTGTATCCAGGGAAAATCTTAGGGAACCCCAGTGTTGCCTAATTCTCACAAAATTGTGTACTTCTTGAGGACAGATGTCTGCGACTTCTTTGGCAAGCCAAACAGGTTGGGGAAGAACTTTTGCCAGGTTTTGAATTTTTTTTATTTTTTTATTTTTTAGGTTTTGAATTTTTAACAAACTATTAGTACAGTGGACATCAGGATTAGAAGGGTCTGGCAACACAGGTAGTGGGAGGAATTCCACAGAGGAGAATCCAAACATGAATTTCAATTCCTTGCTATTGTCTACACACCCAGGCCACATGGCATTTGCTGTGAGTGCCAGGGCTTGTAAAAGAAAAGTCGGATAAAGGAATATAAACAGTTGATTCCCTAAGTAACTACGATTTGTAAATAGGCCAGACTGGTATGAAGGAATTGGAAATGGGGTGCCATGTTTGGATGAAGGGTTTCAAAACCAGACTGAAATTGCAAAGCCCAGAAATGACGTGCCTTACAGAAAGTGTCTGTGACCACAAATCAAGGAGCAACTATGTGTACAATACACAGTCCACTATGTGTACAATACAAGGACACACTAGCCACCTTTGAGATCTCTTAGTTACACTTGGATCCTCATCATCCTTAAGGATACCACTGGCCCACTTACCCTCCAGACGTCTTCCACTCTGAAGGGTGTGTAACACCCTTAACTCAGGAGGCAAACGATGCTCCTGCATTGAGTTACAAATGTGCAACTCTTCCAGCGTTTAACGGCCACCCAACATAACTCTATGCGCCTGAACTTTCATGGAATTCAAAATACAGAGAAGTCCTGGCTTTTTCATACGTATGCAGATCCAGTAAGAGCAAATAGTTAATGATTCTCAGTGTTATTTTATGAGGATGGCTTTTATAGCCCTAATGCTCAAGATAATTCTACAAATAGGTATTCTTATCACCATTTTACTGTTGAAACGGACTCAGACTTATCAAAGGTCACAAATCAATTTGAATAACAGCTAGGATTTAAAGCCAGCTCAAAAGTCCAGGGGGCTATTTTTCTAAAACAATATTTAAGGTTACATTTTCCTTTTAGTCATGCTAATTACAGAAAGAGACTACAATGCAGAAAAAGCAAAATGCAAAAAAAAAAAAAAAAAAAAAAGCAAAATGCAGAAAACATGGAAAAAGAGT